GTAACGGTCCAAACTGAATTAGAGGCTCAGCCTCTGGGCCTGATTCCGGCCCTGGTCCTAACTGTGTACCTGGCCACAAAACGGACAACAGCACATTAGTAAAAACACATCAGTAAATAAATAAATAAGAAATCAACTTAAAGTTGAAGTCTTTCCGATGCAGGCTTAAGTAAAATGGCCGTAGGGCCTCCAGCTTGCGGTGACGCGACCTGGGGGCCCTTATCCAACCTCGGGTCCCGTGAGGGGCCCGTGTGGAGGCTCTCAGCATGTAACACTATCTCTGTCTCTCTCTCTCTCTCTCTCTCTCTCTCTCTCTCCCCCCGAGAGGAAGGGTATAACTTTCAGCGGAAGTTGTGCCCAGTTCGCCCCAAAACACGCATGTCAATTCCGGAAAGTAACAAAGTAACAAAACGAGAAATCTCCAGCTAAACTACATGGCTGCTAGATGAAGTTCAACATGAAACGACGGCCATCATTCCTAAAGCCACAAAGAGACTGGAGAACCATCCACACTCGTCATCACACATAATCAAATCTCCAAACGAAAAAGTGGCTGCACCATAGCTGTGCTGCGCTACTATATATATCTGTTAAACTTGGAACCACACACACAGAGAGACGAGAAGATTAGCATGGGCCCTGCGCACTAAAGAATGACACTCATGGCCAGCTTGCCTTCATCTTGCAGCGTAACATATCTGTCAGGGGCAACGCGATCATTTTTTTTTTTTTTTTTTTTTTTTTTTGAAAGCCCTCTCACAAAGCCTCTATCCCTATGGTGGTAAGAGAACCGCCGGGATTGAAGTCTTGGCTACGGGACTACTCCATCTATCTGCTGTCAAGGATTGAAGTCCAGCGTCCCTCCGACACATCATTTCATCATCATTTCAGTACAGAGTGTTCACTTCCTCCTTTCGGTTTCCCGGGCTGTAGCCGCTGTATCTTTGGTCTTCCCATCTCTCAAGCTCCTTCTTTCCCATAATGCTGCACGTGTTATTACCCTTCCTAATATATTAACGCTCGCCATCGTAAAATTGACACTGGTCTGAGATGCAGTTGATGTTGGTGCGGGCCCTGGGGCTCGCCTCTCTGGAAGATTGGCAGTGCGTCTATCCCTGCAGCACCCGGGAGAGCGGCCTGACGAGCTCCGGCCACCCATCTCGCTTCATCCGTCAGCCTCTGTACCTCATTCGCTACCCCCCTCAAAAGCCGCCTCCACTTCAACACCCACCTCCATCTCCACCTCCACCTCCATCTCCACCTCCACCTCCACCTCCATCGCCACAGCCCCCCCCGCCACCTCCATCTCCTCCACCTCCACCTCCTCCCCAGAAACCTCCATCTCCCCAGAAACCTCCATATCCACTTCCTCCTCCTCCACTTATTCCTCCTCCATGTCCACCTCCTCCGCTTCCTTCTCCTGGACTTCATGCAGGGCAATAGAACCTAATGATAAGGCCAAGTACGAAGAAAGCAACCATTGCAGCACGGAAACCAAGGAAAACGGTCGCCGGTGAAGGGCCATCGTTAAAATGTGACGTGTTGTGGAAATGTGAATTGTCGGGAGGTGGCCCCCACTCCTGAAGGAGTTTGTCCACACGGAGTAGTCGCCGCGCTGTCCTCTGCCCCCTTTCAGGAGGGATGAAGCATGTGGAGGAGGAGGATTCACAGTCTGACGAAGAGGACGACGTAGCCAGGGAGCTGCTCGAGGAGCTGTGGGAGGTGGTGGAGAAAGAGCTGTGGGAGGTGGGAGAGCCAGCGGACGTGGCGACGATCTCCATCATCATCATCATCATCATCATGTCGGATACTCGGCTTGACCAGCTGCGGCTGATCACACTCCGCGGGACGCTCAAGAGCCTCTTCAGGCAGAGAGAAACCCCTTCACCCCTTTCTCCATCTGCAGGCCTACCTCCAGCTGGACGTCGACGCGGAGCCGTTGCTTCGAAGACGATTGCACCGGCGGCTTGGGAGTCCTTTCCCAGCTCTCGCCGTTGGTCATGGCGGTGGACATCAGGATCATCATTCACCGTGCCAGTGCGGCGGGCCAGCRGCTTGGCAATGTACCCGACGTTGACGATGGCTATGGCGGTCTCGAAGCCCGGTTTGCCTTCCTCACTGTTGACAGGGAGATCCCGATCGCCTGACGTGTGTAGTTCGCTGACGAAGGGAGTCCCAGACGGAGGAGCGAAGGGCT